CAATATTCTACGTATGTCCAGTCACTTTTGAGAAACCAGATCAGGAATTTTATTGTAAGTTAGCATCCTGCACTTACTTTTCTGTTTATATTAGTTGACATCCATTTATTATTTCTGTCAACAATAATAAATAAGTGGGTTGTGGAAAAGCTTTCCAATCTGGCCATAATTCAAAGAGCAACCTGAGTAACCTGAGGATGTTTTAAAGAGAACCAAGATATTAAATGCTGATCCAAATCATTTAACATGTGGGAATGTTCTCTCTCTCTTTCTTTTAAAAGGGAAACTGCAGTTCAGTTATAGAAAGCAGCAGTATCTATATAATCTACCAAATAAGTGCAGATTTAGCATTATAAATGGTCAACTCTGAAACACAGTTAGGACTAACATTTTCTCCCTTGGCACCCTTTCAGAGCCTCCACATGGAGCTTTATGAATGCAAAACACAAAAGGAAGATTGTGTCTGATTGCAGTGTCTGTTTCATGTGGCCTCTTATAAAAGCTGACCTTCTCCTCAACTTGATTTTTTTTAACAAAAGACTAAAAAGTGCAGTTTGTACTGATTTTTCTGTGTGCAGGGGTTTGCATCGGATACATTTTAGAGTTTTAGAAGAATTAACACAGTTCAACTATTCATAATGATAAATGAATAAAGCTATTCAGTTATCATTATGAATAACTGAACTGTATTTATTCTTCTAAAACTCTAAAATGTGTCTGACGCAAGCATCCTCATACATAACATTCTGATTTGGGATAATTTCTAGGCTAATCTAAGGCAGGTGTGTTGGGATAGGGAGAGGTCTAATCACATCTACTTCTTCTTACAAATTCTGATTTGTGCATGCAGCTCTTGATCACGAAAAATTTCAAAGCAAGATTAAAAAGACAAACCACTGAATTCAAAAGAGAAACAGCTGATTTCACAATGCATGTACATTCACAAGTTCCAATCCATTAGCAGAGGTATGAACAGGAATAATAGTTTCTTGGCATACTCCATACACACAAGTGTACCTCTAACAAAGGAAAGAAATTTCTCAGATAAGTTTTTGATTTCAAGAAAACTGATTTTTGGTTAGCAGCTGTATTGCTTTCACATATCAATACGAACAGAAAAACTACTTGAAAGACCTGTATCATCTCCTACAGGTCTTTGAAGGTTTATGCCATGGTCACAATTTGCATCTCTCCTTATCCTATTACATTCCTCTCTGATCCCACCCCCACAAGTGCTTAACTGTGCTTAAATTCCTGTGGCTTTAATATTTTTCCATTAGTGCATCTGAAGAAATGGATTGACATCTCATGCTAAAATAAACTACTTAAAGATGCTGCTAGATTCTTCTCCCCCCACACCCTGCCCTCCTTTTCTTTTCTTCTTTAAATAATCTTCTTCCACCAAAATCATTTGAAAAACAACAACAGGTTACCTTTTAGAGAAGGAGAGGTTGGTTCCTCTTCACCTGTTCAAATTAAATACAATGATGAGATCCAGGTATGGACATTTCCACTTGGCTCCCTTAGGTTGCATCTACACTGCAGGGATAAGGTAGTTTGATGTCAGTTTAACTGCCATGACTCAATGCTAAGGAATTCTGGATTTTGTAGTTTTGCGAGATATTTAGCCTTCTCTGTCATAGAGCTCAGGTACACAACAAACTACAAATCCCAGGATTCCACAGAACAGAGCCATGACAGTTAAAGTGGTCCAAACTACATTAATTCTGCAGTGTGACAACAGCCCTAGTGTTGGTAAACTACTTTTCCCTTCATGCTTCACCACTGTCCATGCTGGTTAGGAGTAATGGGGACTAGAGTCCCAAAATATCTGGAGGGCCACAGGCTGAATTAGACTATTGCTCAAGGACTATTTGTTCTGCAAACTGCTTTTTGTAATAAACAATTAAAGCTCTATTGGTTTACTACTTTCAGAGGGACTTATGTTTGGGTAGACATACATGTCATTGCGTTGTTAATGGGTCTACTTACCAGTTGTGCCTACCAAAGATGTTGTTGTTGTTTGCCTTCAAGTCGTTTCTGACTTATGTGGATCCTAAGGCAAATCTATCATTCTTGGCAAGATTTATTCAGAGGAGGTTTCCTAGTGCCCAATCCTGAGGCTGAGAGCATGTGACTTGCCCAAGATCACCTAGTGGATTTCATGGTCTCCAGAACTGTAGTTGAACACTCAAACCACTATGCCTTCTCTCAAAGATACACATCTTTATATTTATTTATTTTTAACAAAAGAGGGCAATTGACTTATGTTAGAAGTTATTATGAGATATAGCAACACCACTGAGCTTGGAAAATTGTTTTTGAGGAGTATAACGCCTAGAATCCTCCAGCCACCATGGACGTTTGCCATGCTATCTAGACCAATTCTGAGAATAGCAGCCTAAAAAAAGTAGTTTTATGAAGCTCTGAAAAAAAAGTATAAACAATGTTCTTCAGTCCATTGCTTCCTTATTTCCCCACAAGTCAGTGGCTCTGCTTAAAAGTATCTGACCTTAGGTTGAGTCCTGTGCATTATGGTAGAACTTACAATTTTACCAAAAAAAAAATTTTTTTTTGAGAAATGACACAAACTGCTGAATAGGTTCCCTAATCACATTATATGTATCTGCAAGTAATTTTAATCATGTTGAAACATTTTTCAGATTCCAGAAATGTAACCCATGTGGGGTTCAGATGCATGACTGGCATTTTGTAACAACCTGTTCCTTGATTATGCAATGGACCCACAAAGCTGGGTCATATATCTAATATATGTTTGTGTCTCTTTAGGGCCAATTCCCAGAGGACCTCTATTAAAACAAAGAAGCATAAGTTACATGTCTGCCTGACTAACTGGGAGGGAGCCCAATGCAGCCTGACATGGCTGAGACCTGTTTTCAGTGTTAGATGGCTAGCTGTTTCATCTGAGTTAATATATACAGTTATTTAACAATCATCTTGTCTCCACTGTTTCCTGACTTAACAAAATGTTACATGGTGTCAGAGGTGGCCACTGATTCTTGGCAGCTACACAAGAAACATTAATTTTTTAGTCAGTATTGAAATGCGCATCGAATGTCAAGCAGTTGCATAAAGGAACTGCACAGAATTATAACAGGGGGTGGTACATGACCCCCACCAGAGTAGAAGCCTTGAAGTGAGGCCATTGCTTTCAGGTGTACAAACCAGCCTCAGAAACATATGCCAAAGCAGATGCCTTGCAAATTAGTCTCCATTTACTTTCTGTAGTTTGAGAAGGGGCCTTACAAGTATGCATCAACAATGGCAGCACGATGTTCTTTCTCTGGGTAACAATGCTTTCCCCACTTATTTGTGTGCAAACACTCTTTAACTGTGGATGGAATCCTTTTGGGACATTAAATTATGGTAAAAATAGCTGAGCAAGTAGTTGTGCTTTTCCAGAGTTGCACAACTGCAGCATGTGCTTGTGAAATGCAGTCCACCATTCCTTAAACACACACACACACACACACACACACCTCATTTTGATTTTTTTGACTTTACAATTGGAGTGGTAATTGACTATTGTGCAACAGGTGAACTCAAGACTTTGGCGTCTGCTATACAACTGGTTCTGCCTATGTGGGATCCAGTGTATGTTGACACTGTGCT